TTTCTCAATTTGTATATCAATTTCTCCTACAGATTGAATTAAATATGGGTCTATATCATTTTCTGAAAGAAGAATATGTTGTTTTCCTCTATGATAGGAATGGGTCTGACTAAGTTCATAATTCGCTTTGTTCATAGCATCACCTTCTCCTTTATATTTATATTTTGCATATATGCTTTCTATAACTAATGATGTTTTTATTTGATTCTTTTTGTAGAGCTCTTCTTTGAGAATATTAGTAATTGCTTTGCGTGTTGAGGCCATGAGTTGGGGCATATATGGGGTGTCAGCATATGCTGTTTGATTGTCTTGCTGTTTATTAAAAGCATATGCTGGATTATTGCCTGCTGGAATCTTTCCTTCCCATACAGACATATTTTTGAGATTTTTATGCGATCTGGCCGGGTCATAACTTTTTTTTACAAATATTATATCATTCTCTTAAACTTTATTCTGCTCAGAGGATATTTCTTCTCTATAGGCTTGGGTCACCGGGCCTGGGCCGGCTTCTTGAACTTGGGCCTCCTCTTGAACTTTGTTCTGTGAGGGAGAGGCTTGAATTGCTGAGTTTGAACCAAATTTAGAAATGAGAGGTAGCCCCTGTTTGAATACTTGGGTTCGGGCAAATGGTATATTGCATTGATTTTTTTTGCTTTTATAATGCTTGCGAAGTTTTTCTGGTCTTGTAAAAGTATATCCACAACAAGCACATATATGATTTTTTTTATCACTTCTAGGCATGATATTATTAAGTCTCACTTGTTAATATATTGGATAAACTTTTGTTTAAATAAAAATATTTACCCCTCATCTTTTCATGATAAAATTATTCAAAATAGGATATATCTTTTCGAGTGCTCAGAAGCTAGATCTTATTGATTGCTAATGGGTGAGACATGGCAATGAGACTTTGAGATATGTATAATAAGTCTCACCTTAGATAAGTCTCCCCTCGGATAAGTCTCACCTTTGATCGGATAAGTCTCACCTCTAGTCAGATAAGTCTCACCTCTGATCGGATAAGTCTCACCTCTAATAGCTAAATCTCACCTCTGATCAGATAAGTCTCACTCCTAATAGCTAAATCTTACTTCTGCGAGGTGAGACTTAGCATTTTTTGTCCTTTGCTAGATAGTAATGAATCGCTTTTTGAATTAATTCTAGGATAACATAGAAAATAGTATGCATATTAGGCTTGAATGGGCCCGCAGAGAAGCACACTCGGACACTTCGGTCCTCGGTACTCTCTGCTCATTTTCAAAGGCAAGCAAAATAGCATAATTTTTTTGTTATCTTGTTTAGGATTAAAAACATAGCCAGAACGTTAACAAAGACTATGTACTCTTTAATGTTGGAAACCCAAATTTAGGAGTAAGGAGAGTAAGTTAACAGGATCTGGCTCTAGCGTAATTTAGAGCCTAACTTCGATATAGGATTTCATATATCTAGAAGAGCCTGAAAATGGGTAAGGAACTAATTCTGGATACATTTACAGAATTCTGACCCCAGGAATCCCCTTTTCGCCCTACTAGAGTTTCTTAAAAAGAGCATTATATAATTCTATAATCTAATAAAAGCAAAAGTCAAAGAGGCTAATCTTAACTATAAAAAAATAAAAAAAACAAATTTGTAAATTAAACAATATTTATAATATTAAATACTATTAGCATATTTTATATTATTTTTATAAAAATATATTATACTAATATATTTAATTTTAGAGTAAATTTATTTATCACATCATGCAATACGCTTTATATGTTATTCTTCTAATCAAATTTCAAGATCAGGTGTAATATTACACGATC